AGGTTAGTCTGCCCAGGCCAGCGTTCAAACATTGGTGAGGGCCTCTGATAAAAGGTTTGCCAAGATGGGGGTTGCCAAGGTCTTAGAGGGGTTTCAGTGATGTGTTCAAGTCTTCCTAGATTTAAAGGATGATCTTTGGCAAACTCCCCCTGCTGCTTCTCAGCATTTCTAGAGCCAGCAGTTGTTCCATCTGCTGCTGAGGCCGACTTTGAAGAATCCTTGCAAAAAGAAGTACAGTAACTTTAAAGTTCTACTGAAAGAAAAAACCCACTGCTTTTCAAAAGTGACCTTCATGTTTGCCAGTTTCTTGACACATGCTCAGGTAAGGCTGCCTTTTTGTCTATGTATCCCCACGCACATTTCCAGAGCTCTGCCAGTGTAAACTGTGGGCTGCAAGTGGAGATTCAGCAAACAAAATCTCCTGAAAGTCTGCATCAGGAGCTAACTGTTCACATACAGAGAATATATGCACAGTAACTCCCTCACCATAAAAGACCAGCATGATTCAAATCTGTGAACTAATTTGCCTTTGGAAAAAATTGGGCCGTGAAACCCAGGTAGGTATTCACCATTAATGCTGAAACAAGAAGAGAGCACAAAGCAAATTCAACAACGTACTGTAAAGGCTGAAGCAATCTAGCTTTGAAACAGCAAAGCAGAACCAAGGCAGGCACAAACTAGGGTACATAACACCACATGGTTTCAACACACAAGCTTCAGTTTCTGATGCTGCCATCCACAGACCAGTGTCTGCCAAACTAGGCCTTTATTCTGTTTTAAAAGGTTTATTCTAATTACTGTAGGAACTATAAAGGTTTCTTTATCATTTAGTATTATAAATAATTGTGCTTCCAGGCTAGAGTTCAAAGCTCAGTATAGCACTCGCACAACACCACAGGCAGGTCAGGTGACCTTTCTCCAATTCTCCTCTCTCTGGTGCTGAGGACAGACAAAGTGATATGTCTGTCATACGCCATTACCATTAGAACAGAATCTTGTTCTTTTATTACAACTGAACTCCGCCGGATTTCTCAGCAGGAATGCTAAGTGAAATCAATGTCTTGGATTTCCAGGCTGAGCTTGGAGGTCACAGCCACTCTATCATTTCTCAGCATTATCCTTTCCCGTTCTCTCTCTCTCTCCCTGAGCCTCCAACTGGCACACAGCAGATTGAAAACAGCATGCATCACAGGGCTCACACTGAACAATTTTACAGCCTTTTTGAGCCCCCCTCCTTTCCTTGTGGCCCACTCTTTTTTACAATTTGCAAATAAGTCCTGTTTGTGTCCTACAAGTTGTGAGCCAAAGGCACTGGAACACCTACAAATACAGAAAAGCAATACAAGAAAAGGAAAAACAGAGATGGTTTTGCTGACATTACCAGTCAGGTAAGTCTATAATTCTGCGAGTGCCACAAAATAAATATTGTATCTGATCAGCTCTCACCAGACATTCTGTTGGTGCCATATAGATCCAAAAACAGCACCGATTTTAAATGTAGTGAGATCTAACAAGCCATAAGACACTTACAGAATCCCCCTGTAAAATATACAAAAATCTCTTGTTAACCATACACTTTTTTCAAATGGCTGCATGTATTATTTACTGGGGGCCAAATAGCTTTGTGATTGATAGCTTTACAATACATAAAAAAGATGTCCAAGCTAAGGAAAACCATTGAGGAGTCAAAAACTCTGCACTGAGAGGAGAAATTAAATGTAGATTTAAAATTTGATTCATTAACATGATATGCTCTAGCTCCTGACTGTTCATTTTAGTCTTTCATCATATATCTCACTGAGTTGACAATGGTATTACTTATTTGTCTGGGTATTTTTAATCCATACTATTTTATTGTTAGGTTAAAAACTAAGACACTACTGTCAATTCAAGGAATCCATTTTGATATGATAAAGGACATGGACAGTATGCTAGAGGACAATGCGAAAAAGGAAGGACATACGTTTATCAACCTTTAGCTGTCACTTAAACGGGAGCGCGTTTTCCTTGCTTTCCTTAGCTAAATCCTGGTTTGTTGTTTTACAGTAAATAACTAAGGTAAAGAACAATGTCTCAATCCCAGCTGCAACCAATTTTCTTTTGGTCAGCTGGGGAATAAATTGAGTACATCTTATTTCAGGCAAGGAATTCAATGAGTTGATTTTGATAAGACAAACAGCTAAAAAAATTAGATACATTTGAAGTATAGTTAAGAATGGATGGACTTTTCAAAAGCTCTCAAATGTTTTAAAGAACCGAAGTCCCTTTTGAAAGTCAATGGGACTTGTGCTCCAAAGAATCATTTAGGTGCTTGGTAGTGGTGTGTGAAACAGGCCATATTCGATTTGGATTCAGATTCAGCCCGAAATCAGGACAGTGATTCGTTGATTTGGATCACTGTCCCCAATTCAATTCAGCCGAATCCGAATCTGAAGATTTGATGCTGATTCAGAGAATCAGTGATTCAACCAGACACAGCTTTACATGTTTTTTCTACATACCTTGAGGTACCAGTGTGACTCGTGAATGCTGTGATGCTGAGGCAGATGGAGCATCCCACAGGAGTGCGGCGGGAGTCCACTTCTGGGTCCATCAGGGAGTATGCTGGGGGACCCCTCCACACTCCTCCGGCTCACCAGTTGGCCGCAGGAGGACCCCAGGTGCCCCTCGCCAGACCCAGGAGGTATCAGTTGCCAAGCTGGGAGGGCACAGGTGGGGGACCCCACATGCTCCCCAGTGGACCTGGATATGCACTTCTGGGTCTCCTGCCAAGCATGCTGGGAACCCCTCCTGCACTCCTGTGGGATGCTCTATCTGCCCCAGCATTGCAACAATGCTGGGGCAGATAGAGCAGCTTGCTACCTTGACGTATGTAGAAAAAACATTTAAAGCTGTGTCTACATCTGAATCTCCGAAACGTTCCGAATCTCTCTGAATCAATTCAGAGGGTTCCAATTAAATTCAGAGAGATTAAAGGGTCTCCTGATTCAATTCGGATTTGGAGATTCAGCCACCGAATCGGGCCGAACCTCTGCTGAATCAAATCAGGTACTGAAACTTCGCACAGCCCTAGTGCGTTGGAAACTCTGACCTAGGGTATTATATTATAAAGCTATTAAGTATCCCTATTGCTATCTGTAAATTAGGGAAGGGCACAGAAAGTGGCCCTGATTTGCCCTCTCATTCATATTATGGAAGTAGTCTCACTGAGCTTCACTAAAGTAGTTCCACTGAACACAGAAATTGAGCTTAACTCATTAACATTTCCTTAAGGTTATTCATCAATGTTATGAGTAAGTACAGTTCAGTGTGGATCAAAATATAAAGAGACAATTTTTCTCTTGGTCTAATGGTCCACTGTACTGTATGGATAGCTGATTTAAATTGATAAACATTGCAGAAGCTGACTAACAGCAGAAAAAAAAGTTGCTTCTATAATTTACTTGGTTTTCTATTTCATTTAGTTTGCTTTGTCCAGGCAAAGAACACAGGGGGAGAATTATGTGGGGATTTTATGGCAAGAAAGGTAGTCTCTAACAAAATGCTTTCTATCTGATTTTGACTCTCAGCAACTGAATCCTAAGCTTCCATTGGCCAGCAATCTAATAAAGTCACACTATGCTGTGTGGGATACTGCCATTTATATATTTATCCCAACCATAGCTATTTTAACAAACATAGACAGTGTTGTAAAGATACAATTGAATCTGATAATACAACTCCAACATGAACATAAATCTCATTTGCCCACTACTGCCAAACTACTCTCCCTAGATCCCAGAGTTTGAAAGAAAGATATGGTGTGTAACACAACAGACATCAACTTACAGTCAATTTTTTTCATTAGCTATGTATCATAAGACTCCTTTTGATTTCAGTGGATGGATTCTATAGCAGAATTTAGCCCCAAAGACACTGCATTACTGCTATCTTTTGATGCAGTGTCACAAATATAGCTATTGTTTAAGTGGTAAGAGAGAAATGATGGTTGTGCGCAAGGGCTAAATGCCTAGGGTGTCAGTTTTTTGTATATTACCAAAGGATAAAAAAAGAATAGACTTGTGGTTAAAGCACTAAAATGGGATTTTGAAGGAACAACTACACAAGATTTTTTACTGCGGAGTTGTCTAATTAGCTCCACAGTAAAGCATCTGGGCATTTATAGATGAGTTGTGAGAGGCAGGGGAGCACTTTAATTAGCAAGCTGTGATAGTTAAAAGAGCCCAAGCATCACATGTATCAATGTCCCTTGTTCAACAAGCTTTAGTTCAAAGCATCCCACTGCCATTTTTCAGTGCAGGGATGCTGATACACATGATGCTGGAGGCTTCTGGAGTGCATTAATTTTTGTGCTCCAGCAGACTTGATTAACGAGTTTACTCCAACACGCTAGATTTACAGAGCATTGGAGCAGCCTCCCTGCATGTGTATAAGTGCCCTCTGTGTCTACACATGCAGCACTATTAGGCTGGAGTAAACTAATTAACTCTGCTGTAGGATAGTACTGACCAACACAATTACTATCCTATGGTAGAGTTATTTACTGTGCTGTAACACATGTGTAGATGATGAAGAGGGCTGGGTGGGGCACAAAGGTACTACAGTGCGGGGCTGGTTGCCAGTTAGCCCTGCTCTGGAGCATCCTCAAGCCCCAGCCAGCCTCTCCACACTCAGCTGGGGTGGAACAGCTCTGGGCTGGCAGGCTAACCCCCTGGGCCTCCTGCCAGATGGGATTTATTTAGGTATACTAAGTTTATGTGCAGATGCACCCTGAATGGAGTTCCTTGTTCAGTTCCTGACCTTGGGCATGTCATTTATTGCCAGCATGCCTGAATTCCCCTTCTGTCATATGGGGAAAAGAATCCATCCCTAATTCATATGGAGATAAATCTACAAGCTCTTGGGAGGTATGCAGCTATCATATTGGCAAGAACTGTGTAAATATCAAGACAGTTATAAATACCGTGTTACGGCACCGTCTCCTTTAAATGGCACAGTACCTTGCTTTTGGGTGGAGGGCTGTTTGTGCTCTTGTCTGTGTGGATGCTGGTAGGGGATACAGCAGCACCAAGGTTGCCTTGGGGTATGCCAGGTATCTTGCCTCCTGGAGACACTTGCATTGCAGCAAGTTGGGCAGCATACAACTGCTGTAAAAAAGAAAAAGGCAGGAGAGACACAGAAAATGAGACATCATCAATAAATAAATAAATACATCTTTAAAAAAATTCTCCTACTGCAGAGGCTGTATGTTTTTCTGATGGGTATTTTTTATTTAGCACACTGGCATATTTCAAGACAGGAACTGTCACCTCAACTTGTGAGATTCATCCTTCAGGGGAGGAAAGACAGATGTCATATATGAAATGACCCAGCTTCAGCATATCCAGGCATTCAGATAATCCACTTCATGGTCTGCCTGTGCCATGGGACAATCACTTTCCTTCCTGAAAGGATGGGGCCATAAGAACATCCCAGCAATATTATATTAACAACTCCCTCCCCACAAACTCATGGAATTAACGTAATATTTGCTATCATCACACTGTTCATTCTGCTTGTACATTATATCTGTTTATCATACTCGGTATTGCTCTCGTCTGTTTAGGCTGTAAATGGTTTGGGGCAGGGACTAACTGCTGCTTTATGCTTTTCCAATGCTTCTCATTCTTGGTTAGTCTTAGGCACAGCCGCAATAAAATGTAACAACAACAATATATAACATCACATCACAATAACAATCAGGGGCTCCAAGCAAGATTGAGATGTCTTTGTGCAGGGTGCAGCGCAAACACATGAAAACATTTTTTAAAAAATCCTAAAACGCGAGGGCTTTGAGCCAGAAAGGCACTAAGGCACACATTTAACTTTAAGCATGTGAGTACTGCTATCAAAGTCATATGTTTAAAATTAAGCACTGACTTAAGTGCCTTGGTGGAACGGAGCCAAGGACTGAGAGGAAATAGGTAAGCTGGCAGTGTGTTGTAAACCCACCAGGAAGTAGAGAATACAAACACTGTGGGCAAGAGAAGCAGCAGTTAATACAATGTGGCTGCTTTATGTATAGAGTGGGGAATGAAAATGAAGCCAAATGCAAGTCTGGATGGTGCAACAAACTGGTAATGAAATAACAGGGCCTTTTATCCCATGGTCACAGAGTCAGTTTCAACATCAGGCCAGATGTATACTTTATTATTGCTATAGTGCAGTAGGTGTATGGGGCATGTTACAGGAGAAATATGGCACATTCTGCCTCAAGTTGCTTCCACTGTAAATTAGGTATAACAAGAATGGGAGTGACAAATAAGGGGCAGGAAAAGTGGACGTGAGAAAACATGGTATACTAACAAGACTGGACTTCGAGATTCTGCCTACTTGTTGCTGGATGCAGGTGATAGGTCTTCTTTAAAAATGGTTATGTCAATAACAGAAGAAAAGGTCAGAAGGGAGATCACAATGGAACACTAAATAAATTATGTGATCTTGAGAGAGGGGAGTGAGGATTCATCAGGACCAAGCCTGAGGAGCATATTGGAAGCTGGGGAAAAGGTTTTACCTCTGAGTGCTTGCACAAATATTACTCAGACTACATATGCTCTAAAAAGAATATATGACAGTGTGGTCAAATGTCCAGATTTGCCTGCCATGAGTTTGGAATGATTATGTGGCTCGGGAATGCTGAAGACATGAGTAATTGATGTAGGTTATCCCAAACCTTGATACGTCACAACCAAACCCTCATACATTCCTCTATATGTTCTTTCGGTTGTGATATGTATACAATCCTGATCATTTAACAATATTAAATCTATTCTGTTTTTGCTCCTGTCACTTTAAATAATTCTGCACCAAGGATCTTCTCATTCTTTCTTTTCTCCCACCTTTCCTCCTCCTCTTTTGGTTTTGTTTCTTCTTTCTTTTTTTTTCTGCTTTCTTCATTTTGGCCTCTACTTGTTCCTCATTATTCTTACTCACCATTCATCATTTCCCTTCTTCTTGCACTTTCTCTACTTCCTTCTCAGTCATTCATTCTCTTCTCACTGTCTTACTTGCATACTTACTCATTCATTCTGCCTACTACCTTTATCCATACTCAGCCAACCAGCCTCAAATATAGTCACCCAGGGATAGTCATCCAAGGTCATCCAGTTAGAAGTTATAGTGATGGATACAAGAAACATCAGATCCAGACAGATGGCTCTTAAAGGAGAGTCACTCCTGCAGTCATAAAGGCAGAAACAAACAAGGGCATGAAAGCTGCTCCAGCAAGTTGAGTACGGAGGACTGAATGGTGGCACTTCCTCAAAGGACACTGCTCTGCAGCAGCTCAGCATAGGAACTCTCTTGCTCAGAGGGGTGGTTTAGTCATATACCTGGTGGAAGCAGACTAGTGACAGAACTGAGTTTCATGCTGATGGCCAGTCCCTACGGCAAATCCCAGTTTGGGCTTGTTCAAGCCCTGAGAACAGGGGTGTCTAACTATGGGCTGCATGAGTGACATGGGGCTGGTCCACAGACTGGACTGGGCCAATGAACTCCCTCCTCCTTTGCCTTCCTTGCCAGCATACCTGATCTGGCAGCCAATCCAGGCAGTCTGAGATCTCTACTGCATGTGGCACAGATCCTAGAGCAGCAGCCACACTGTAAGATCAGGTATGCTGGGGGGGAGGGAGAGGGAGAAGGGTATAGGGAAGAAATGGGGTCATGGGTCCCAATCTAGCCCTGTGCCACAGTCATGTGCCATGTTCTGTGTGGGGCTGATCAGACCCAGGGGCAGCACTGGGGGGCAGATGACAGAGCTCTGTGGGTCTGTTTGACACCCCCGCCTTAAAAGTAACATGACACAAGTGTGAAATGACTTCTGGAAGAAGTTAAGAAAGAAGCAAAATGGCCAAATGAGGGCTCTGAATGTTATTGCACCAAGGAATTTGTGCTGTTTTATAGCTGTTCAGTGGTCTATATGAAATTAGTTGGAAGCGATGGGTGCCTATACATGTGCTCGGGGGTGAGGAGGGGCCGCTCTAATTAAGACAGCCCACTGCCACATGTATTAAGCCCCCCATGTTTTAAAATAGCCATGGGAGTGCTTAACTAAAGCTCATTTGACAAGCTTTAGTTAAAGTGCCCCTGAAGCCATTTTAAAATGTGGAGAGGCTTAATGCATGCGGTGCAGTGATGCTGGAGTGTTCTAATTAGAACGGGAACCAGCACGTCTGTAGGCAGCCAATAGTTCCTAATTGAGGCTAAATGCTACTATGCAGAAGTCCAGCAGAAGGCCATATTTTAAGTGGTTAAGTGTAAATGAAGGGCTGCCTGGACCTTGTACCTGTTCTCTGTTCAGGGACAAGCTGCACAGTCAGAGAGATGGTCTCTTGAAAAAGGACTGAGGCACATTTGGCGACACAGAGCAGTTTGGAAGAGACATTGGAAGAAAACTTGCAGTGCCATCACCCATGTTGAATTCGTTTTTGTGTATACACAGAGGGCTGCAACCTCTCCGGCTGTCCAGGCTGACCCTTTTTTCCTCCACTGTTATTACATGTATTTAATAATTTAAAAATAAAAAATAAAAATGAGTAAACAAGGTCCTCTGGGAAGTCTTAGCTTTATCATGCACAAGGCATCTTTTCTACTAAAAAAGATATCTGACTTAACTATCACTTTAAGAGAAATTTAAGACGTATTATTGCAGGTTGCAAAGACCTAACTTGGCATATAAGTTAGGGTAGATGGCACCTGAGTAAGAGGTCTTATAGCAAATAACCATTCTAGTTCTTTCTGCCATTGGCTCTACTTCCATTCAGAAAATGGTTTAAAAAAAATGAGGATAGCTGTCTAGCTCTAACCTGTTAAATAATCAGAGAGAGGGTGGATTCTTAATTAGCCAGTATGGTTTCACCTACAGTCTTCCCCATTTTGAAAAATGGACTAAGACTTAGCTTGTTAATATTTGGGGGGAAAATCTGAACGTTGACATTATTTGAATCTGTCTTTTCAAATGTAATCATTTTAAGGCATAACTTCTGACTTATGTCCAACAATAGGGCATTGGTTGTTAATTGCAATGGCTAAATAACAAGAGTTTAGAGTGGATGGCTATATTAACTAAAGCAACTGAATGCAGACAAAGAACAGTTCTACCCTGAGGTCCACCAGAGTCTCAAAATTTGGAGAAACTGATACATCAGAAAGATGCCAGTAGTCTCCATGCTGAAGTATACTATTGCCATGAAAAAGCATATTCTGTGCATCTTCAAGTCTGTGAGACTGATGAAGCCAGCACCTCAAAAATAAAATGGATATAATTTGTTCTGTACCATTGCTGGAATGAACTATTCTTGAGTCTCCTTAAACAAATGCCAATAGGGAATCTCTCAGACCACCAAAAAAGTTGTACAATTTAACCAGACTGGAGTCTTAAATGTAACAACTTGGGGATTGTGTAACAGCCCCTGCAACCCTGTAAATCTCAAGGCAATTGAATGGTTTACCCTCACTAAGGTATTCAGTTGAAATCAATGGAGCTCTGTTGATTTAAACAAGTTTATTTTTGCTATCTATGACAAAATAAGAGTAGTAAGGCCATTTAATAAGGCAGACAGACAGATTGCCTAAGAAGTGGGCCTTTAAAAAGGCAATTAAGTCTTAACATCCATGGTTTATTTATAACAAAATAATCATATTTCAGATTATTTGCCTATAAGCAGTACTGTATGCTTATCTGCTCATTAACCTCTTATAAAAATCTGTGTAGAAGCAGAATCATCAGAACAAAACAACTGGTTATACTTTAAAATGAGAGAGAAGCATTGATATTTTAATACAGCAAGTATTAAAAGTAATCCATTAAGCAAAAATCCCCCTTTTCTAGTTTATCACCTGAACCATTTGTAATTCATATTAATATAGATCAGGTGAATTCAGCTAAACTCTCCCAATGGACTAGCTCTCATTGCACTTGGCTTGATGATTACATCATACATCAATACCAAAGCTTTAAGGTTAGACTGGCTTTGAAAATGCCACCCTTAGACATTGTTATTATATGTTAGCAATACTTATTACTGCTTTGAGGGTACACTAAAAACAGTTCTTGTTCTATTGATAAAGAAAATGAGAATTGGATTTAATAGAACATTCTAAAAGATTT